TTTTTGTTTTTTTCGATATCCCTATACTCCTTTTTCTTTCGTTTTTGTATTCTTTTATCGTAGTCTTCTATACCTCTATGTTTTTTTTTAATTTGTTTGTTTTTTTGATTTTGCTTCTTGATGAGTGGGTAGCCGCCAGCTGATGAACAATGAGAAAAAAGTCCTTAGTGAGTTAAGAACCCTGAGGGAGGCCAAAAGCTACTGAGACAGATTGCACTTGGTGTATAAAATCACATGGATGAGTTCTTCGTTTAGTTGGATCTACTTTAGTTAGAGATAAATTACTTGTAATTTTGAATAATATAATCTTAAATAAACAAGAGCAGGATAGCCGAATTAGAAAGTAACAATACAATTTTGCATAGAAGTATTAGAAGCTACAACTCACTATGGAATCAACTTCTAACAAAACAAGTATTTAACCTACACTTATGACTAAATATAGCAGGTTCAGAAGAAATACTAGCTTCACTAAGAATAAGTCAAGGTATTCAACTGCTAGATGTAGCTGAAAATACTTGGTTCAAAAGGCTGCCTAAGACCTGTACACATTTCTGAAAAAACAATTTGGCTTGCTTAACAATATTAAAGGCCAGAGAGCTGAAAGTCATATTCAAGTTTAACAATGCAGAATTAGAATCAAAAAACATAAAATTCAGACTAGTAAATATTTTAGAAAAGAATTTTACTCTGCTGGTAGTAACGATGCTCAGAAAACTCAATATAATTTTACTCAAACAACTACTAATATAGTCAAAAGATTATATAATAACATAGCAGCAACTGAAGATGCTAAGAAATAAGTCAAGTAGAGAGAAAAGTATGAAATGGTTTTGTATAATTGAAAAAATAGTAATTGAAAATGAAGAAAGCAGATTGGTTAGGTCAGAGTATAGACTAGGTGGCCTTAGTACTTAGACACTGCAGATTACATCAGATCTATTAGAGGTGAACAGGAGGAAAAAAAAGTAGATATTAGTTAAAGCTAGAGAAGCAAAAGAAAATCATTATCCAGAAATCAGATGAACTCCCTAAAAGAATTCTTACAGAATACTGGAAAGTAAATGAAAAGCTGGTTATAAGAAGTACAAGACTTGAAAAATGTGAAGGTTGTGAACTAGATCAAAAAAAGAAAAAAACTTTTATAGAAGCTAAATATGCAAAGAGAAAATTTAAAGTTTTATAACAAAAATTGTGGATAAACAGAAAAGGAAGGCTCTTAAAGTTTATTACAAAATGCTGTTTTTTCCAGTAACTTGTGATAAGCTAAAGATTTTCATAAATAAGAAAGTAATGCAAAACATCCAGATCTATGATTTAGATATAAAAATTATTAAAATTTAATGAATCAGCCTAGCTTTACAGAATTATCTAATAGAAAAGAACCAAAAACCTTAATACAGATCTCTGTTTCAGTTTACTTTCTATACCAATGCTCTTTAAGAAGAAATGAAAAAATAATCCAAGCATAAGCAGATAAAATGGGAGCAAACTGGGTACTAATAAATGAAGAGAAGGAGAAAGTCATTAACAAAGAATACCTCAAAGCAAGAAACTGACTATTTTCAACAAAAGTGGAGCTACTAGAAATATGGAAAGTACTCTTAGTCACACCAAGGAGAAAAAAAATAAAGATCTATATAGTGTTATATTAGTAGATTTTATTAGTATATTTTAGAAGATTTTATTAGTAAATTTTATTAGTATAATTTATATTTATTATATGTTTATTTTTAGCTTTAGTTTAATAGTAAAATTTTTAACAAATAGTGTTAATTTTAGTATAATATTAGGTATGTTAACAAGTATGTTAATAGGTACGTTAACTGATACATTAACAGGTACATTAACAGGTACGTTAACTGGGTTGTTAACTGGGTTGTTAACTGGGTTGTTAAAAGGGTCGTTAACTGGGTTGTTAAAAGGGTCGTTAACTGGGTTATTAAAAGGGTCGTTAACTGGGTCGTTAACTGAATTGTTAACTGGGTCATTAACTGGGTTGTTAACTGGGTCGTTAACTGGATCATTAACTGGGTCATTAACTGGGTCGTTAACTAGGTCATTAACTGGGTCGTTAACTAGGTCGTTAATTGGGTCATTAACTAATAGTCCAAAAGATATAAAAACCCTGCCTTTTCTACCAAGGCAGAGCAGACTTTCCTTGCTCTCCTTTAAGGTCTTAATAATTAGACTTTCTTGGCTCCCCTTTTAATATCTTAATAATTAGACTTCCTTTTACTTACTTTTAGTTTTTTGTTATTTATGGATTATTTTTAATGAATAGACTGTCTCCTCTTCACTTTTAATTCCTTGTTATTTATGGTTTATTTTCTTGAAAGTGTAGCCATCATCTACCTTTTTCTTATTGTGTTTAATAAAGCTTTTATTGTATTTTTATTATATATTTAAAGTTGAGCCATCGCCTCTTCTTTCTTCTTTGAATATTTATTTTTGGTATATTGAGTTGAGCCATCGCCTCTTCTCTCTTTTCTTGAGTATTCTATTGTGTTTTAGGATTAGAGCCATCGCTTCTTTTCTTTATTTTTGGTTTATTGTTTTACTTTAAAGTCTCTTTTAGTTTTCTTTTTTGTTTTATTCTCTTCTTGTTTACAAACACATTCCTTAAACCTCTTACATGTTAAGTCAAGTAGTATAGCTTTACTAAGACCCTGTATTGCTATATTATAATAGATAGTGCAGCAGCTTTAGCTAGATTAGAAAGTAGAAATTGGAATAAGCTGACTAAACAAAGGCTAAGAGTAGAGAATTATTACTTAGTAAAATGTATTATAAATATAGCAAAAATAAAGGAAGATAGTTAGAATTAGAAAAGGTAAAAGGATATAGTAGAAACAGGTAGAATAATATAGTAGATAAACTGATAAAGATAGAATCTAAAATAATAGATAAAAAAAGAATTATAGATAAACCTTTACAAGAATTAAATATCTTTTTATACTGAGAAGAAACAACAGTAGAAGCCTCTACAAGAGAATTTTTATAACTAATACTTGAGCTCAAAACAGTAATAAAATAAAAATTCATATCAGCAATTAAAAAATAGAATCTGATGATAATGAACAATTCCAATATTGGCCTATTTTATGAAAAAAGATTAGAAACCAAAATGGAGTTAGATGTACAAGTGCAAGAAAAAATAAACATTTGGGAGTGCTAGTTAAATGCTTATATGAGAAACTCACCATTCTTAAAACCTTGGTGACTAGAAAACCAGACCTATATAACAGCCCAATATATAAATTATATACAAGAGAAGAAGAAAAAGATCAAGAATATTTAACTTCATATAAGAAATATGAAACCATGTGGATAAAAGCAGAGAGGTATAGAAGACTACGATAAAAGAATACAAAAACGAAAGAAAAAGGAGTATAGGGATATCGAAAAAAACAAAAA